TACATATGTACATACACATGCAAACTCAGGTACACAGATTCCAGGAAAATGTCCTCTCCCCTCCATACGCTGCTTTTATGGTGAAGCATAACCACTGCTGCCAACAGAAGTAATGTTAGATGAAATGTGCTTTGTAGCCCACAAGGTATACATACAAAGGCTTCAAGGAGTAAGTGAGCACTTTCCCACTGGCTGAATAGAAGCAAGACCTGATGAGATTTTACCGTATCAGCTTGAATTCCCTTCTCCCCATTATTTCTCACCTCTCTCTTTGATTTACTTCTCTTTATCTATAAATAAAAAGTGGCATCACCTAGTTCTTCCATTTTTGGATCACAGGAAACTTGGCACCCAAAACAATGGTCTCATAATCGTATAGCATATCTCTTAATTCAACTTCAGTTTGGAACAGAATGCACAGACACAGCCCAACTGCAGCTGTTGGATAGGAAGCATTAAGAGATAAAAACTTAAAGTTGCTATGGTTAATAAGTGACCAAAATCTGAGTCAGCCAACTTAGAGACAACCCTAACAGTAAGCAAATGAATAGCACAAGGAAGGAAGTAAAGTAAATAGTTCAGGGATCATACAAAGGCAGGGTGAGATCATACCCTACACTGAGGGTAAAGAACAGCTGGTAATCAAGCCAAATAAGGGAGATAGCATGCTCATTTAAATTTTACCTGATAGAAATGTCAGAGGGTTTAGCTACTTTGATCCCAATTACATTTCTAATTTACCATAGCTTCAAGTTCAATAAGCTCTATAGTTATCAGCTCATTGATTTAATAAATATTTATTGAGCACCTACTTTGGACCAGGTAGTATGCTAGTATGGAGGATGAAGCATTCAACAGGATATAGATGGATCATGCTATGCTTCTAGATCTTACATTCTAGAACATATGCAAGGAGGCAGAGAGAACAACAACAACAAAAGTCAGTAAAAATATCTGTGTCGTGATAAAAAACAAATGTAGGAATGTGATAGGGAGTGATGGGTAGCTAGATGGTGTGGCCGTTCCCACTGCTGGCTGCTTCACTCCAGATCCTTCACTGACCAGACCCAGGCAGCTTAACACCAGCATAACATCTGGTGCTATGATCCCAGGGCTGACCCCCAGCCTCTCTCAGAGGCATGATCTCACATTAACCTGGCTACCATCACTCTGTGTGGCGGACACCCCTACGCTACACAGGCACTGCAACCCCCTGAACACAGGAACTCACTCTGCAGGTCTCCATTGTGGACACTGGCTTGGGAAGTTCTGTGCAAACATGGCCTCCTCTCCCTTGAAAACCAGGGGAGGTTAAGCAGCAAAATTATGCATGTGGAAAAGAGAAGTACCTTCTAATAACTGCGGCCACTGATGTTTAGAAAGCGAGCACACGTGCAAGCAAACGTGAAGGAGGAGAGGACAATGAGACACAAGGGAAAGCACGAGAGAGTGTGGTGTTAGGGCACTATTTTAAGAAAACAACCATCAGTTATGCTGAATGATGAGAGAAAAGAGACATGATGACTGGATTTGACAACACTGATAACATTTAATTACTAATCTCAGTGAATTAGTTGGGATAGAAACCTGACTGGATGGGCCAAGAAGATAATTCCTCAAAAACTGGCATTTTTGTTGAGGGGGAAACACAGAACTGGGACAGTAAATGGAGTCAAGGGAAGCTTTTATAAATGGATGCCCCTATGGCATGTTTACATACCAATAAGAGAGGGAGAGAGAGATGACATTAGGATGAAGGGAGATTCTAGGAACAGTCTTCCTGAGCCATGCACAAGTGAAGGGGGGTGGTGGGTGGGTGATAAAAGCAGGAGTCCCTGTTACAACAGAGTGAAGACAGACAGCACCGGTACAGATTCGGTCAAGTTGGAAGATATGGTGGTGACTAGATAAAGGCATCTACACTGACTGCATCTATTCTTTGCCGCAGAAGATAAGTCAGGATCACTGTCATTAAATGAAACCAAGCTGGGACTCAATGAAATGTGCATCCCATGGCCAGACCATCTCAAGATCCTCTAGGTAAATAAACTTTAATAGGCAAGGGACAAAATTCATGGTAAATTCTAAACTATCCTTACTACACACACACACACACACACACACACACACACACACACTCTTCACAGAGAAAAATCAGACACACACACACACACACACAAGCCCCCTCAGAGAAAAATCAGACTACTTAGCTATACCATCAAATACCACCATCTAGTGGCTGAAACCTTAAAAGCCAACATATTCAAGTTACATCCTACATGTGCCTAAAATTCCAGGAGAATTAATACTCTAACATTAGATTGTTAAATTGTTAATTATCCTTGATTATTTATTTTCTACCTTCATACCCAACAGGAGGAGCTAATATATTACCGTTAAAACACCAATTTTTATATTAAAATATATTAATAAAATATTATTCTCAGAATCAAAATGTTTTTACTTTTAATATATTTTAATATATTTTAAAATATATTAATAAAATATTATTCTCAGAATCAAAAGTAAAAACATACCTAATAACTAAAGTGTTAGTTCCTCAATTTTGACTCATTTAAGACAAAAATGATTAACAAGGAACTTCTTAACCACTCTCACATTTTTTTTTTTTTTATACATTTATTTATTTATACAAGCACTGGGCACAGTCAGAAGCGCGGGAGGGTGAGAGAATTCACCAGAGCCAGAGCGGGGAGCAGAGCAGGCAGAAGGACCGAAGGACACTGCTGAGGGGAGCAGCGGGCGGCAGGAGAGGTCTGCGCGCCATGTGGGACCCTCCTCTGGTGGCCGGGGAGCAGCCGGGGATCGAACCGGCGCCGCAGAGGCTGCGGGCAGCTTCGCAACCCAGTGCTCAACCGCTGCACCACCGGGGAGGCCCCACTCTCACATTTTAACAAAAAAGATAGATCAAAGAAAAGAAAAAGAAGTGCTTCTCACTTGCATTACTTCTTTTACTTTCTCAAAGTATTTAATAGTGCACGGCAGGTAACAGTTAAAAGTACAGACCTGATCTTTGGATGACCTAAAAAGTATTCTGTCCTAAGAAAAGACCTGTTCAAATCTACTCCTGCTGATCATACATACATCTTCTAAAAATCATATCCTAGTGTTTATTTTAAATTTATTTATTTATTTAAATTTATTTTAAATCAACAGTCCTCAAGTATAATTTTCCTACTACCATTTTCTTCACCAAGGATTAAAGTTTCAAAATGTTTACAAAAACATGATTTTCAGTCAATATGAAACACAGCAAACAGGCAGCTCTTTCAAATGGCTGCACTAACAACAATCTGATGGTATTTTTTATCTCTCAATATAATGCAATCAAAAGCACTAACATTACTTATAAAGTATTACTAGCAATGATTAATCAGAACCTTAATCAAATCTCAACATCTTACTTTCAGTTTTAAGAAATGCACGATAGAAGAACAAGTTAAACGACACCCATAAGGAAACAATCAAATAGAAAATTGGTCTGGACTCTTCAAAATAACAACATCATGGAGGATAAAAGTAGGGGAACCAGACAGACATTAAAGAGACAACATAACAAAGGCAATAATGTATGAGCTCGGTTTGGATCTTGGTGAAACATGAGCACTATTACAGACATTTAGATGAAAGCTGAAAAAATCTAAATATGGATTAGATTAGATTACGGAATTGTTAATTTTCATAGGTTTGCTAATTATTGCATTTGGTAAGATTTAGGAAAAACATGAAATGCGGGAACATGTCATAATGTCTGCAACTCACTTTCAAAGAGATGAGCAAAAAATATATGTTAGTATACAATAATATCTGTGTGTATGTGTGTTTTGGAAGAAACAGATAAGTAAATATTTAGAATTTTTGAGTCTCAACAGAGAATATGGAGAGGCTGAACTGTTCTTACAATTTTAATAGATTTAGAAATTTTAAAAATAAAAATGTCCTTCTCCACCCCTAGGTTAGACATCCTACTGGTTTTTTTTCCCTTTCACACTTAGGTTGCGTCTTCTACAGTCCATCTTTCCACATGATGATAGGTACAGATCATTTTTTTGCCTATAGGTAGAATTCCAGTTTTCTCTACACAAACTACTAGACAATGTCTTTTCTCCACTAATTTGTGGAAGAAAGATTTTTGTCTAACTGAAAGATCTAAACAGAGGAAAGGGAAAAGGACTAAGAAAGTAGGGGAAAAAAAAAGTAAAAGAAAAATGAAAAAAAGGAAAGAGTTTATACTGAAGGAGTATAAGAGTTGAGCAAGGACTAAGAATAAATGCAGCCGCTTCCAATTCCTGTACACAAAACCATATTTACTAAAGTATTAAAGGTGTCAATAGAAAAAGGTGATTGAACACTTATTTAAAACAAACAAAACAAACAAATACATTCCCTCAAAGTTCTTCAGGAAACATATGACTGATCTGGCATATAACTTTCTAGGAGAAAATTTCCAAAAATTAATAACCAATGAGTTGTATTATATTTTATTGAGCATTTACTCTTCTTTAGAACAAAAATCATGGAGAAACAGAGACACTGTAAGCATTCTGAAGATTCTTTTATAAAATTTCATATTTAAAATTTATTTCTGGGCCTCCCTGGTGGCGCAAGGGGTTAAGACGCCACCTATGAAACTGTCCGCAGCCTCTGCAGCACAAGTTCAATCCCCGGGCCAGCCAGGGAAAAACCCACATGGCGCAGCAGACCTCTCCTGACTCACCCACTGCTCCCCTCAGCAGTGTACTTTGGTCAATCTGCCTGTTCTGTTCCTCACTGTCTCTGGTGAATCCTCTCACCCCCTAGGCCTGTACCCCAGCTCTTGTATGCATAAATGAATCTTTAAAAAAAAATTATTTCTTTAATTCAGTACCTCAATAAGATTTTAAAAACATGAATTTATAGAATTCATAACTCTTTATCCTATCACTGATATTTGACTCAGAAAATGTTAACTGCTCTCTAAGAAAATTCTAGGCACATACCTTTTATTTTCAGCTAAACTGGCTCCTTCATCCTTCAGCTTTTTACTTTTTTCAGCACAGCCTTCAAGGAGAATTTCCTTCCTACGTTTAACAGCATGAACCCAGTTGCCTTCATCGTTCTCAGATACATCCTTCTCATCTGCAGCTTCAGCTTCAAACTGCTGGGAAGTGACCTTTGAGACCTTCTCACCAATTTTCCTCTTCCATCCAAAGGAAGCCATTCTGGAAATTACAAAGAAAACAGTATAAAATTTCAAACATGGCTCTCTACAGAAGTATTTCAACTAACAGGTGGAGAAGGGATAAGAAACTCAGACCATCACCATTTTTTAATCCCTAACTATATACAGGATCTAGGCAATAATCATCAGAGACTGCTAACATCACTAAGACAGAAAAAAAGGACTTTTATCTTTTAGGAATATATTCTAAAATAATTCACATGAAATAATGAGATACCTAGGAATTGTTTCAAAGTAACCAGACATGGGTGAAACAGAGAGAAATATAGATAAGATTGCTATGAGCTGACAGTTGATGAAGTTAAATGACAAGTATATAGGATTCCTTATACTTTTCACTTTTCATATATGTTTAAAATTTTCCATAATAAAATATTTTAAAAGATTCAAACTTGGTAAATTAATTCAGAGCTGGGGCCTGCCTGGTGGCACAAGGGGTTAAGACGCAGCAATATAAAGCTACCCGCAGCCACTGTGAGTTCCATCCCTGGCCAGAAAGCTACCCACATGGCGCAGAAGACCTCTCCTGACTCGCCTGCTGCTCCCCTCAGCAGTTTATTTCAGTCAATCCGCCTGTTCTGCTCCCCACTCTGTCTCTGGTGAATCCTCTCAGCCACTGCACCTCTGGCCTGTACCCCAGTTCTTGTATGCATAAATAAATCTTTTTAAAAAATTAATTCACAGAGCTATCGGGTTGATCAAAAAGACAACAAATGTTAAACTGCTTCATAAATCTGCCACAATAAACACATGTAAGGAATTAGAAAGAGAGGATAACTGAACAAAGTTTAAAAAAACCCTGGAAGAACTCAACAGATAATTATCCAGAGAATAAATTTACTGAGAAAGCTGAGAACTCTTACAGGTTAGTTACATGAATGGATTCTAAGTTATTGAGAACCCCCAGGAATTGTATATAACTTTGATAGGCCTGTGTGCATTCTGGAAAAGAGTATAAGCTTTCATTCCATTCTTTAAAAAGTATATAATCCAAGGAAATTATGATGAACAGACTGATCAACCAGAGGGCTGAGGAAAAGCAATGATCTGGAGAGCCCCATAGCACTACCAAACAAGGAACATGGTGGAAGTAAAGGAGGCAGAGAAAAGAAAGAGTAAGTCTGAGCAGATAGTGAGTCCTTCATCACTGATGCACACGGCTGAAGTATAAATAATCACTAGAGAGAAAGGCCCAAGGTCATGGCAGAACTTGGAAGGGTAAGAGAATTGTGGGTAATGTTCCCAAGTCCTTAATAAACGTAAGGAAGTGCTACTGAACTACAACAATCAAGAAATGTGCAGGGGGAACCACATGCTTTCCATGGAAGCAGGGATTTTGGACAAGTCTGGAGGACAGATGGCACTAGGCCGTTAGGTCAATGCCCAACTTTACCCCCACGCTAATAATGTAGAGAAGGCGGCATTTCTGACGTTTGAAGGTGACTACAAGTTACTTGGGGGGATAACCAAGAAATGAATGAAAACGAAGGGTGTCCTTATGGAAGAGAAGTGTAGAATCACAGAGTGAGGGCAACCCGAGGGGACGGATCCTTAAAGAAGTCTCACGAGGTCTCAGGCTATGTCGAAACAAGAAAATAGTCTTGTATTTGTGACTGTCTATAAAGGCAACAAGAATGAGAGGCTTAAGTTGTCTCACTTTAGATTTCGAGATGGAACTCTGTTTCTAAATCAGCATCCTGAGGCACCAGGATGAAAAACTGCAGATGAAAAACTGGTGTGTTTGTTTACTAAAGGCAAATGACATCAGAACTCAGTGGCTAGGTCTACAGATGGCAGCAGGGATGAGAGTAGAAAGGAAAGGAAAAAAGAACAGACCAACAAGTACTTTTTTAAAAATTAATATGTTATTGAGACTCCCGTTACCCTCCTTCGTCCTTCAAATCAAACCACTACTATATATGCTGAAGTGTAGGTTAAGGCCCAGACGGTTCTCAGCCATACAGGAAAGCCCCACACATGGCTGGTGGGGTAGTTTCTGCCATTCTCCCCCACAAATTCTTTAAGATGTCCCAGAGATAAGAGGCTGTGCAGGTCAGGACAGAAAGGGTTCCTTGGGTATAAAAGATGCCTTTGGCTAGAGGACCATTAGCAATTAATAAGTTTAGCCTTGATGAAGGGGACAAGAATACATTCCTCTCAGACAAGAGTTAATATTAAGTGAAAAGTAAAGTTCAGGAGTAGGGGCAAAGAAAATGAAAGATGCCATACCCTCAAGGCACACATTTCTCAAAGAACTAGGAAGCTGCTCATCTGCTCAATTAAAGGAAAATAAGTGAATCCGAGCACTTGAGAAGAATGGAAAAAAATCTAACAGCCATATAGTATGAGTAAAGACACAAAACACTTGAAAGGCCGACTGGTTAAAAAGCTGGGATCCGTCACCAAGGCTATTAGTACTGTTTTATATTTTCTTAAAATCTGGCTGGATGGAAACCACAAAGTATATTCAATTACAGTACAGGTTAAGTGCTCTCAGCGAGTAAACAAAAGATGCTATGCTGTAAGAGAAGATGCATGAGGCTTCCCTGAGGCTTAAGAAAGTCAGGCTTGGGCCTCCCTGGTGGCGCAAGGGGTTAAGCAATGCACTATGAAGCAATCCGAAGAGTTCGATCCTCTGGCTGGTCAGGGAGCTACCCACATGGTGTGGCAGACCTCTCCTGTCTTGCCCGCTGTTCCCCTCAGCAGTGTATTTCAGTCTGCCTGTTCTGTCCCCCACCTCTGTCTCTGTTGAGTTCTCTCTCTCTCTCTCTTTCTCTCTCTCTCTCACACACACACACACACACACACACACACACACCCCATCCCCCACATCTCTGGCCTGTACCCCAGCTCTTGTATGCAAATAAATAAATCTTTAAAAAAAAAAAAAGTAAGTCAGGCTTAAAAGGAGGGTGAGTTCTAGCACATACACAAAACACTTTCTGCCTTGGAAAAGTTAACACTCCGACTAGATTCAGATATCTTAAAAATTAGAGTTGCTTGATCCTCTTAGGCCATCTGAGCAGAAATGAAAACTTCTTATAATGAAGGCTTTCCTGAAGCTCTTATCAGCTAGACACGGCGCAACATCCGAGCCATTCCATTTTCCCACTAGGATAAGATATATGGGCAAATCATCATCAGGTTTCATGTTAAACTCATGCAACACCACAAATTCATTTTGTGCAGAGTTTAATCAGTAAAAGCCAAATGTGTTCTAAACAACTATGCTGTGCTCTAAATTTTTCTGCTGACACCACGATCCGTGCAGTGGGTGTTCCAGTGCTGTGGACCACCCGAGGTTGCAACCAGGCACCCACCAGAGGATGCTCGTTTTCACCGCGTGGGAGGACGGAGCACCCAAGGCGAGAAACCCCTGGATGGCCGCAATCAGGAAGTAAACACCGCAACCTTCTAGGTGAAGCTGTATTCAGAGGTGAGGAATTCAAGAATTGGTTTCCCCGAAAATGTCACCGTAAGCGAGAAATCCGTATTAGCAACTTAATTTTCCACAACATGAAATCGTGCCAGCTTCATCAAGGCTGCCTCGGACGTCCCCCGCGAGTTGATCAAGACCAACCCCAGTTGCTGACACCTTTAGGGAGGGTGGAGAGCGAGCTCGGTTTACGGGGGTGGAGAGCGAGCTCGGTTTACGGGGGGGGGGGGCGGTAGAGAGCCAGCTGGGTTTATGGGGGGTGGAGAGCTAGCTCGGTTTAAGGGGACGGAGAGAGAGCTCGGTTTAAGGGGATGGAGAGTGAGCTCGGTTTCGGGGGAGGTGGAGAACGAGCTGGGTTGGGGGGGTGGAGAGCGACTTCGGTTTAGCGGGGTGGAGAGCGAGCTCGGTTTAGGGGGTGGAGAGCGAGCTCGGTTTAGGGAGGGGTGGTGAGCGAGCCCGGCTCCGGGGGGGGGGGTACAGAGCGAGCTCGGCTCCGCGCCCCCCGCAGCTCAGAGCAGGCCGAGGCCGCGCCGTCAGCCCAGGAAGCGCGGAAGCTGCTCCCGCGCCGGAGCTCGGAGCCCCGAACCCCACATTCGCAGGTGCCCAGAGACCAACCTTAGACTCGCGGCTCTGCCACACCTCCGCTGGTCTCAACTCCGACTACCCAAGCGCCTCTCTCCTCTAACCACAAGCCCCCCGTCCCGCTCTCTCTCCCCTCCCGCCGGCTTTTTCGGGAACCGAGCAGCCTAGGGCACCTGCGAATCCCTCCGCTGGCCCCGTGTTTACATTCCGCTTGCCCTTTACCCAGCGGAAGCGGAAGTTATGGTGCCCCACCCCCCACCCCCTCACCCTTCCCACACCGCCCCCCCAACCTACCTCGCGTCAGTACCTAGTCTCCCAAAAAAAGCTCTCCCACCCAGGGGTTCAAACACTCCCGAGAAGGAGACAGGGAAGACGCGAGTATCAGACTTTCTCCTCTGCCAGTGTCTTCCCTGGGACTACAAATCCCAGCAGCCACTGCGGGTGCCTCTACCCTATGACCCTCTGGGGGTTGTAGTCCAGATTTTGAGCGCCCTCCGGCCCCGGCCGCGAGCGTCGAACCGCGTCAGTGCGGCTGCGCGCGATACTGCGGCTGCGCGGGCTGAGGCGCGCGCGGAGGGCAGCCCCCAACCCTGCCGCCCGCCGCCCTCCGCTTGCGCCCCGCCTGTGAGGAGAAGCTGGGTGTAACCATCAGGGAAGGCGGGGCGCGGAGTGTCAAGATAGGGGCTTCCCTAAAGGAGTTTACAGCCGTGTCGATGAAACCGGTCAAACGCATTAGACAAATGCAAAATTCGATTAAAAACGGGGAGTCAGGGAGCGATGGGGAGGGACGGACTTTATAGGCTTCACAGTGGGCAAATTTTGGACCCTGAACAGCGAATTATGGCCTGAAATTAACGGTGATTCATGCCTTAGAAAAATAGGTGGCGGGCTCCCTGGAGGCGCAGGGGTTAAAGACTCACCTCGACGAAGCTATCTGCAGCCACAGCGAGTTCCATCCCTGGCCTGGGAGCTACCCACATGGCGCAGCAGACCTCTCCTGACTTGCCCGCTGCTCCCCTCAGCAGTGCATTTCAGGCGATCTGCCTGTTCTGCTCCCCACTCTGTCTCGGATGAATCCTGTCACGCACCCTCCACCCCCCCCCCACACACCTCCTGCCTACACCCCAGTTCCTTCATGCATAAATTAAAAAAAAATCTTTAAAAAGAAATAAGAGGGACTTTGTAACACATGAAATGTTTAGGACATTGAAAAATTAAGATTGTGCAAAGGACCATTTTTGTATACCAGGCCTTCTCAATTTCAATAGTATAACAATTCAAACTAGGTAATTCTTTGTTGGCGAAAGGGGAGTTCTGTGTGCTTTAGGGTTGTTAGGCGCATCCCTGGTCTCCACTAGATGCCATTAGCATCCACTACCACCACCATGACCACCAATCCTGACAACCAAAAATGTCTCCAGGCATTGCCAAATGTCCCTGAAAGATAAGTCTTTTCCCCTCACCCCACCTATTGAGAACCAGTGATGTGGGCCAATGATTCTCCAAAGCAGATGCTTAGACCGCTGAGAGCAAAATCAAAACTATAGTAATATAAAGTTATAGTAATATGAAATATGAAGACATCGTTTGCCGGTTTCACAACGTTGACTTGTGCATTGTGAAAAAGTAAAGGCAGGAGAAACAGCTGGCATCTCGGCAGGAGCCAGGCAACCAAAGGTAACTGCGGGAGTAGTCACTGTATTCTTCTCAGTCTCACACTCATAGGAAGAAAAAAAAAAATGCAGTCACCCAAACATGTTCTTGATGAAACAGTAAAAATTGTTAAAATTACCCTTAAGTTCATATTTAATGTTCTATATGACCAAATAGGAAATACTCAAAATACCTCTGTTGTATTTTGAAGTCTGATGTGTCAAGTAAAGCACTTAGGAGAGTGCAATATAAACTAAAGTGCACACACTTTCCCCTGAAATACAACTTTTACTTAGAAGAACGACTGACAGATTCAGACTTGGGTATTTGACAGACCTTTTCTTGAATGAACAAAGGAACAAACAACTGACAGTGTTGCCAATGATAAAATTCATATATTTGCCTCATGATCTTGAAATCTTGCCAAGCCTTTCCTTTTTAATCTCTGAATTTTATATTATTTGTTGTTATGATCTGTGACAGACTTTTGGTCAGGTTGCTTTCACTAAAAAAAAAAAAAACTGCCATCCGCATGTGTGCAGACACACACACACACACACACCCCAGTCTACAAAACATTTTCTTTTCTTTTTTAAAAGATTTATTTATTTATGCAAGAACCGGGGTGCAGTCCAGATGCGTGGGAGGGTGAGAGGATTCACCAGAGACAGAGAAGGGAACAGAACAGGCAGACTGACGAAATACACTGCTGAGGGGAGCAGCGGGCAAGACAGGAGAGGTCGGCCTCGCCATATGGGACTCTTGCCGGCTGGCCGGGATCGAACCCGCGCTGCAGAGGCTGCGGACAGGCTCACAGTGCAGCGCTCAACCACCTGTGCCACCAGGGAGGCCCTACAAAACATTTTCAAAGCATTCCTTCTGAAGGTTTTACAACGTGTTGTTATCATTAACCAGTCTATTATAATGAAACTTTAACAACTGAGAGCATTTTGAAACTGTTCTTAATCATGTAATCTTAATCTGCAATCATGTTTTTAATAGTCTGTATTCTGGAGCATCAAACATGGTTACATACTTGTTCATCTCAAATTTCCATGAGACAATGGCGATACCAAGCTCACACGAGCTCTCCGTATTTCCAAGACCCAGGCATACTGGAAGGAGCCCTTTCCCATCTCACTAGTCTCCTCAAATTTTTCAATGGTACTTTTATGGCCCCCACATTCGTAGATCAGCTGGCCAGAAGTGGTAGAGTTGCCCGAATCTATGTGTCAATGATGTGGTGTCACACAGATGTTATGAATCTTTGCACTTGCCCATTGTGGCTTAAATTTACTTTAGCTGTGGTTTTCAGGACACCTGTTTATTGATGGTAACTCTCTTGTGAAAAAGCCTGCCATGTCTGATGAAAACTGTGATATATCAATGTGACTTTTGCCATTGGATTAAATATGTCAACATGTATAAAAGCTGCATAAGTGAACCAGTATTTTCAAAATGATCACTGCACGACCGTGGAAGCCAACCACCAAGATGGTCTCCTATGATCCCCATCCCTAGCAGTCATACCCTCCTATAGTTCCTTCTCACAGGATTGTTCTGTTACCTTCAGGACATGGCAGAAATGATAATATATCACTTCTGATATTAATTATAAAAGACACTAGAGCAGCAGCAGTGTTTCTTAATCTGGTAGAGGTGCATATGGCCATTTTGACTGTAAACATGAAACACTGAAAATTCATCAAGCCAAATTTGTGCACTTTTCTGTATAGCTCTATAAAGTCTTTAAAAAATACAGCTCCCACCTTATCCATTTAATGTATTAGCTGCAATAAAATTCTAAACTCAAATATATCTAGAATACATTTTTATTTTTTTTATTTTTATTTTTTTAGAGGCATGTTTATTTATTTGTTTGTTTTTTGTGTGTTTATACATGCACTGGGTACAGTCAGAAGCGCGGGAGGGTGAGAGAATTCACCAGAGCCAGAGCGGGGAGTAGAACAGGCAGAAGGACCGAAGTGCACTGCTGAGGGGAGCAGCGGGCGTCAGGAGAGGTCTGCGCGCCATGTGGGACCCTCACCCAGTGGCTGGGGATCGAACCCGCGCCGCAGAGGCCGCGGGCAGCTTCGCAACCCAGCGCTCAACCGCTGCGCCACCGGGGAGGCCCGAGAATACATTTTTAAATCATTTAAAAATAGGAATTCTAATCTCTTGCCCCTACCCAGCCCGTGTGTACACGCGCACGCGTATTTGCTAAGTGAACAATTAAATGGTGTTTAAAGCTATACCTCTTTCTAGAGTTTTTTCTAAATCTCCAATCCTCTGGCAAAGGCTACCTCTTATAGTAAGTTTTCACATTTCACGCACCACTCTACTTACTTTGAACTGTGATCTTGACACACTTATTTATATATTTAATACACTTCCCAGGCTGTTTACAGACAACATAATCATCTTCCAGGTCAATAGAATTCCTCTAAATTTATCATAGCTAACAATTTATTGGCATTCACAACAAATAGAACCGTCTACTTTTACAATAGAACAGCTCAATAAATATTGACTTTTTTTAAGCAAGAGAATGTCTTGCACAATTTTATACACTCAGGGTAATTTTAAGTTTCCTAAAAGAATCACTTTTTATGTGTTCTGTCAACAATCTATACAAGCCCTGCATAACAACGTTATATGGATACAAAATTTATTACTAACTGAACCCTAACAGTATTACCAAACCCAATGTTAGCATCCAGGGATAAATGGTAGCTGCTTTGGCTTTTATTATCTGTATCTTAATATTTTGTTCAGGCTGTTGATTTTTTGATGACATCAAAACTAATGCTGTTGAGACAAATCACAAGCTTAAAGTACTAAACTTTGTTCAAGCACTGTATTCTCTATATAGGCACATTGCTAAAAAGGTTACAAATGGTCACCCATAAACAAATGTTTGGGATTTTTTTATTTAATTTTCCCAGAGCTTAAAAAATTTAAACACATTGTAGCAGATGAAAAATGTTTTTCTTTATTATCCATTTTCTAAATCAAATTTGAAGTTGTATACTTAAATATACTCCAGTCAAAACATACATGTACACATCTCAGAAATATTGTACCACAAAGATTGATTTCTACCTACTACCAATTACAGTGATGTTGTATATAGAATTTCATTCATCTTGTCAGAACTCACAATGAAAATAAGATTTCTATTATGGATGGGAGATGGAAGGAATTAAGAGGAAAAGGTTTAAGGACACATTTTTCTTTCATTCCTTAGGTGCCAGTGAGGCATAGATGAATGGAGTTCTACATCTAGCACAGTCCACCACGCACTAATTCAGATGAAGGGAATCACCACAAGGTCAAAAAGGATAGGGGGTGGGGGAGAAGAGAGAGAAGGGAGGACATTTTGTATAAAATCATTTAAAACTCTGAAAAACTACAAAAGCATCTCAAGAGAAAATATAATCAAAGTAAAAGTAATGGAGTTTATTTCAGTGAAATTATTTTAAATTAGATATGATATATTAAGCTCCCATATCCCCTACTTGGTAGAAAAGTTCCTCTCAATGAGAAATCATTTATTTTAATGGCAAAATTTTTACATATCAGTAAAATCTGTTATATTTAAAACTATGTATACAGTACATTTCTGGCAAAAACCTTATACATCTTTCAGTTGTCAAGACAAAGTAAAAATATGGTTGCATAAAATCACAAAAAATATAAATTGCTGAAAAGATAAAAAAGATTAAAAATCATTTGCATTGACTTCCTTATATCTTCAATTATAAGAATTTGCAAACTACAATAAATTCAAGAAAATTCTGATTCAATCTTGACATACTTAACCAAAAGTTGTCATTTCAAACATCCCAGCTTAAAAAAGAATTTACTGTAATAGCCTGTGCATTTGTCATACTATTTGTACAAGTGCAATATTTAAATACCTTCAAAATAAAACTCAGTAACTAAAAGAAATTACAATAACTTAAAAAAGAAGCAAAGTTTACAAAATTAACAATTTTTAGAAGGTCCTATTGAATTGGTTCCTCCTTTTATTTGCCCCTCCCACAACAGCTTTACAGAGACATAACAAAGATGTCTTAGTTCTATGTACAAATCTGTAACTTTAAAAATACAGTCTTCTGTTCTTAACATCAGGAACATAATGCTGCATTTAGAGGTTCTAAGTGTAATGAATATCCCCCAAACAATGATACAAAGTTATATAGTTTTAAACTTATATTTAAATCAAACTCCTATTATCGTATACTGTTTTCAAATTCTAAGCTGAATAGAACAAGTCCTGGACCAAAAAGAAGCAAGATTTTTCTTTTGAATTCAGTGCTTGTTTCTAGGAGTGCTTGAGTGAGTTCTACTAACTTTAAGATGTCAATATAGCTGAGTACTTATTGTCTGGTTGCATAGGTGCTCACTGTACTCACTAAAAACAATGCTATAATACAAACATTTCTAAATGAGGGGGTGGGGAATAGCTCTGTAGCAGTGGGAAAATGACTATCAGTACAAAAATCAATTTTGTAACATTAAAGTAAGACAGGGCAATTATGGGTAATAACATATCTATTTTATTAGCATACTCATGGTACCAATTTTATCTGAGGTTTTAAATTTAAATTTTATCTTTTATGTAATGCTCTTACTAAGAGCAAGAAAAAGGAAACATAAATCAAAGCTCTTAGGAAGATTAAGCATATTTAGGCAGTTCCCATAATGCTACTTTCAAAATAGCAAATAAAGCCCAAAACAATATAACCATTTAGACGAACTGATTTGATTCCATATTATTCAAAGTAATAATGCCATGACATGTAAACTTTAATTGGATCTTGGTTTGAAATAACCAGCTGTAAAAGAAATCTGAAGGACAGCTGGGGAAATCCAAATACACATGATTAGATGTCATTAGGATTATTTATAGTGGTATTTAGGAAAAAGTCATTATTTTTAGGAGATGCTTGAAGTGTTGAGTGGTGATGAGTATGTCTGCAACATCCTAATATTTCATGGGGTAAGAAGCAAATAAACACGCACATATGTATATAAATATATCTATATAAATATATAAAGCAAATATGGCAAATGTTAACAAGGGTTGAATCTAAGTGTGATCATCCTAGCCTTTCAATTTTTCTGTTTTAAAAAACTTTCATAATAAAATTTTGGAGAAAAAGCCTTATCAGCATTTAAACAGTTTGTAAGAGATGTTCTTTCTATCCACTGAATCAGTTTAAATGACCAGAAAGTTTTGCATACATTCAATACTGACATGAGGAACAGAGGAATTTGTGAGATTGGCAAAAACAACATGATTTATTTACAATATATGCAACTCAGCTCTTGTGACAAAGAGCAATTTATGTACAGAATATTGTGGGACAAACTGTGAGATTTTAACTTAGTGCCTAGAAAATCTGAATATGTAAGTGCTGTCTATTTTTGGATTTACCAAGCTAAAGAAAAAACTTGTGTCTAATACCTTTGCCTTTGATGTGATTTATCATATACTAGAGTAAATTCAGGGGTGGGATATGGAACAGTTATCCAGACTGTCACCATTGTGGAAGATACTTGCTATATAAGAAGTTAAGGAACCCAGAAAACAAAATCACCTATAAAGGTCTCTGGGGGTTCTAGGCAAATATTTATTGAATAAATTTATGAAGCAAATAATATATAACACATCAACAGGTAATATATGTGAAGGCCTTTACGGTAAATTAATAGTTCTACAAAGCCCTGTGTACACTAAATATAAAACAGCCAAAAATCAAGTGAGCCTGAGAGACCTATAATTCATTATGTATATTATATTACGATATATACCTACAGAACAATGAACAACAAAATTACCTTAATTCATTTTTGCACATTAGGCTTTTATCTATTAATCATATTCTAATTCCTGTGCAAACTGCATTCCAAAAGGCCAATCCTCAGCTATAATTATGTGTATCTTGATTATAAATGGAAGTATTTGGCTATGATTTATAATGCATGCTTATTGCTATCAAAGAAATAAGCAGAGTTCTACGTTTACTGTGCAAGAATTTTAATTAGATTTGCACACATCTCAAAAAATTCTATTGTGTGACTTCCAGGTCTTGGAGCTAAGTCAACAGGAGAAGAGTCAAGTGAGGTCACAGATGAGGTAAGAGAAACTTCTGAGGATTTTCCTTGTGCCTCAGCATCTGAATCATTCCTTTGGCAAGATCGATAGTTGCTAACTGATCCCGATCTCTGTGGAGTAGCAGTTCCTGATTTGGCTTCAGTAATTTCATCTGGGTAGAAAGAACTTCAGTTTATTATAATCCACGAAACCTCCCAGAGATGTTTACCAGTATTTAATTTGTTTCTTTAAATGAGTTCACTATTCTCTATCAAGAGTACATTTACTTTGAATATCTTCTAAAATAGAAGCAATGAACCTGTGTTAAACCACTTGCCTTTTACACACATAGCATATCCTGATAGCAAATCAAAACTAGGTACAGTATGTAGCTACTCACTGCTCTCACAACCCAAAATTAAGAGCCCAACAAATTAATAACTTGGGCTTAATAAACATCATTCCCTAGCAATAAATAAATCAATCCCTCTGTATTAAAAAATCATAGACTACACCTAAAATTTAAAAGGAATCTTAGAAATTAGCTTCACTCATTCCTTAATTTTGTTGAGGAAAAATGACAAACCTAAAAAAGTTAAGTGACTTGCCATAGGTAATATATGAACAGAGGTAAATCCAGAATACAAGTCTCTTAACTCTCATCTCAATGTTTTTCACTCTCCCACTTTCTCTTCATATTTAAGATCTCATAAAACAGCAACAATTCCAATGAACAAAACTCAAGGGAAAACTAAAGCTGGGAACATAATCAAAAACAGTAAATAGTCATTCAACTGTTAAACCTGTTGCTAATAAACTTAAGGTTGTGAATTTGCTCCAATTACAATAAAAAGGACCCATTCCATTACAGTATGAGTGAGCAGATAAATATCATAATGACAGAAATATAAGCAAACAGGTTTATCCAGCACAACACAGATCAAACCTGTCTTTCTGATATTATATAGACACTATCTTTGTATTTATTTAAAAAAGACCAAAAAATTCATGGATGAAACTCATCTATCAATAGCAATTTCATACAATCTTAAACAAAAGTGGCAACATAGCTTAACTCACTTGATTTGGCCAATGACAAATGGCTATAAACTTGTACTTCACTAACAGCTCTGTTTGTGACAGGACACTTATATATACAACTCTACCTCTTTACAATGCTGGGAGGAGAAAAACAACATTTACTTCAACTATGAGTTTACTCCAACTATGAGTCAAGTGTGTTCCATCAGGTTTTTGAATAGATCGATTATGTTTAAGGGCAGATGCACATGGGAAATCTGAATTCATGTAAACTTCAAAGCATATCAGGGATATTGTACCATTTACTAGAAGCCTGTTATAATCTCATACATATCTTAGCAGATAAGGTATTGTTTCCATTTAAAAACAAAAATGACAACAAAATGTTTGCAGAGGTATTAATTTACTTTGACCGAAGCAAGCTAAACAGTTAAGAAGATATTCTGGCAAATTACACATAATTATAATCAGAGATTTTCTTCTAAGTACAGATTTTCATTTTTAAACTATGAAAACAGTAAAGCAATAGTCAACATAATTCAATGTTTCATTAATAAAATTCAAGGAAGCACTTTAAGTAGGATCAACTATTTTGATGACTAATTAAAACACCTGACTTAAAATTTTAAATATTGCCACACTTTGAAATTAAGGTCTGTGATTATTTATAATTATGGGTAAATAGAAATATACAAAAGTCTAGCTTAAGGCTGACAATATCACTCTCAGCCAATTATCATAGTTATCTTGGACTAAAAATGCTTTAATCCCAGACATCCTTATACAATGTATTCTATATGAAAGTGACCTTATTTAAGAGTATTTTATTGAAAGGTATATAAAATTGGAATCATATGACTCTCACAAAACTCATAGAAGATGCATATCTTTCTCTATTATCAGACTGGGAGGAAAAAGGCTGATTCAGATGAGAAAACTAACCAGGAGTCCCTAAACTGTATAAAATATTTCTCAGTGCCATGAGATAAACCTTACTCAACAAAAATTCCATGTTCTATGTGCTACTATGCAAATCTATTTACATCTCTCAACTCTAAAATCAAGTAACTATTATAATTCTTAAATGAAAAATTAAAATTTTATTAAATATCAGGTAAAATAAAAATTATTTTAACAATAAAAACTTACCCAAAAAGTCAACATTTCTTTCTAAATAAAAACAATTTATCTTAACAAAATGAACCACACCCAAACAAAAAAACAAAACCAGAAATGTGACAGAAACTATTACTTTAGGATCAGAATGATCAGATTGTATCTAGCTTTAGATTTTAGAGAAGAAAATAAATTAAAAAGGACAAGAAGACACTATAAGAAGAAAAAGATACACAAATGTTGACATCACAAAAGCATAAAATCTCACCATTGTCATTCTTTTGCTTTTGAATTACTAAGAACAAGTCAATAAACTTAAAAAAAAAAAAAAAAAGACTAGAAAGCCAAGTCAGGTAAAAGAACTAACACATCACGTATATTATTTGGTGTAATGTACATACCATCAATACTACGGAAATCCAGCAAGTACGTTCTACTATCCACTTGGTATAACTGTAGACTCATTTTGGAGTATGTACTTGTCACAGGATTCTTCCTCCGAACACGCAAATAATATGGGTTTACCACCTAGCATAAGGAATGGACAAAAACAAAGTGAAAAACAATACTTCCATAAGACCCTTTACAGACTGTGGGTTTGAGTGTGCTGATAATCAGAATGCGATTTCTCTCTTACCTTCCATTCATAATCCAGTTGTTTAATTGCTCTACAAACTTCTGCCATGATATCATTTGGTCGACTTTGACTTCTAATTCCCAAATGCCATTTCGCTTTCCTTACACCTTGGTGTTTGGACTTCTGTGGATTTAATTCATCGAGGGTATGGCGAGCCCTTGGTGTCTCAGCCACCAAGAACGGTACTCTTTCAGGATGGGGCCGAGTCAAACTGTGATCATCAAGAAAAGAATCGGGTGGGCTTGTCGCCAAGTAAAAGTCCTTCGCCTCATTCATTATTCTCCTGTTATCTATTATGAGGTGGTAGGCAACTGCCAGCGGGTCCTGGTGGTTTCTGTTATAAAGGCAGCTAAGAACCTCCTCTTCAGAGCATTCAAATTTTTCACATACTTCTTTTAAGGCTTCATCATCAATCATGGTTGAACTGTATGATGGGTCCTCAGGAAAGAGATATTTTGGAAGGTCCTGTTTAAACCACTCGTGTTCCCTAAGAGCAAATGGCAGGGTCAGAGAAAGGACTTTAAGTAGAGAGGAGACTGAGAGTAATGGTTTGGGGGATTTGGACTATGAATGCATTTACATTTTTTTTAAAAGCTATATTTTTATTTGTTTATGCATTAAAAAAGTGGTTGTAGGCCAGAGGTGTGTTGGGGTGGGGGGACATGTGAGAGGATTCACCACATAGCGTGGGGAGCAGAAAGGTAGATGTACCGAAATACACTGCTCAGGGGAGCAGTGGGCGAGACAGGAGAGGTCTGCTGTGCCATGTGGGTAGTTCCCCACATGGTGGGGAATTCATGCCACAGTGGCTAGCAGTAGTAGCTTGACAGTGCTGAGACTTTAACCCCTGCGCCAACAGGGAGGTCCTCCCTTTATTAAAGAAGAAACTGAAGTTCAAACAAATTAAGGAACTTCTCAAGGTTATAAACACTGTAAGTAGCAGAGTCAGAATTTCATCCCTTTTCAAAAAAGATTTGAGAGGCCACACTCTATGATTTCCTATACCAATTTCCTATAACTTCATATATTAAAAAAAAAAAAAAAAAGGATACGTTTGATCTGAACCATGTCAAAAACTACAGTAAAACTAAAAAAAAATCAACAAAAACACCCAAAAGAATAAAGATAATGATTATCTCCTGGGTGGTTATCTTCTGGGTAGCCATTATTTATTTTTTAGTGTTTTCTAAGTCCTTTCCAGTTGTTTATGTATTATATTTAAATGGGGCAAGGAGACAAATGACCCAGAAAAAGCATCTCTCAGATATTTTAAAATATAAATTACAAATAATAATTTGTTCACTTCCTCTGGTGGTAAAATCATACCCTGACATTCATCGTTTCTTTCATCCTTAGTCCACTATGGAGTCAATGGAAAAGAATAAAGCTTTAAGTTCAACCTACAGCCTTTCCTTTATCTTCATTGCCTTAAATGCTTCCTTATTTACTATTCCTAGATTTACATCTGATTCTTTGATTCTGTCTCCTCCATCACAGAAAAATGTGCACTCTAGTTATGAGAAAACCAAAAGAGAAGTTTCCAAAGGGGAAAAGGAAAGGAAGAAAAAATGATGGTAGAAGAAACAAGATTGGCAGTGATTTTTTTACAATCTTAAGCAGAAATGGCTTGTCCAAATTTGGGGAAGTCAATTTGTCACCATCACTTATGCCTTTCTTTAAATTATTAGGTTGGGGGCCTCCCTGGTGGTGCAAGGGATTAAGACACAGCCTATGAAACTATTTGCAGCCACTGCAGCATGAGTTCGATCCCCAGCCAGGGAGCAACCCACATGGTGCAGCAGACCTCTCCTGACTCGCCCACTGCTCTCCTCAGCAGTGAATTTTAGTCAATCTGCCTGTTCTGCTCCCCACTCTGTCACTGGTGAATCCTCTCACCCTCCACACTTCATGCCTGTACCCCAGTTCTTGTATACATAAATAAATAAATCTCTAAAAAAAAAATTATTAGGTTGAACCATATGAAACCAACAATATTGAAAGATATTTTACCTACAAAACAGCAAGTTTATCACATGTGATTGAATGTATACTACTACAAAGGGTAAAATTATTTTTTTTCATTCCTTGAGGTAAACAAAAGGAAAAAATTATAATTATGATATCAGATCTCAAACAGCAATATACAAATTTACTACCAAAAAATATTAATCCTAATGTGAATACATAAAAGTCAAATATAAAGTATACTATAGAAAATCTTAAAGAACCACTACAAAATCTAACACCCACCGGGTCCTTTTTATTTTCCACAAGCTTTACTTAAATATTAAAAAAAAAATAAAGTAATATAATGTTCACTGTAATGATTTCAAAACAAAAATTCATATGTAAAATATAAAGCCTTCCTTCCTACCAACCTTCTCTAAGGTAGCTAGTGTAGTGTGTGTCTTAAAATGCCAAAATAAGTAAATGTGTCTATACACTGTATTTTTTAAACATAAATAAAAGAAACACATTATGCATACTGTCTGCAACTTTTTCTCCCATTTAGCTTATACCATGAGATCTGATAATCTCCATGCGGCTTTATTACCTGATATCTTTGATTGTGGCCCTCTTCATGGGATCCACCTGCAGCATATGTTTCAAAAGGCTAATCACAGAAGGATTTAAATACTGAGGGGTATAAAAGATCCCATCACATATCTTCTTAAAAAGAGTTGGCACATGATCATCATCAAATGGGAGGGTTCCACATAATAAAGCATAGAGAATAACCCCACTGCTCCATATATCTACCTCTGGGCCTGCATACAATCTGTAAGAGGAAATACCAATTAGATTAAATAATGATTAGTATCTTAAGAGTCAATCAATTAATCAAAGAATTTATACACACATATTTCATAAAGAATTATTAATCAAAACATTGTTCCTATAAGCCACTACTATCTGCTACATAGAAATATTCCACCAGTATTATCTTTGAAAACAAACGTCAAGAATATTATTAAGTTATAGATTACAGCTAAATTTTTTTTTTTTAAGATTTATTTATGTATGCATACAAGAAGCTGGGGTATAGGCCAGAGATGTGGGGGTTAGAGGATTCACCAGAGACAGAGTGGGGAGCAGAACAGGCAGATCTACTGAAATACACTGCTGAGGGGAGCAGCAGGTGTGACAGGAGAGGTCTGCTGAGCCATGTGGTTGCTCTCTGGCAGGCCGGGGATCGAACTCATGCTGCAGAGGCTGCAGATTGCTTCATAGTGTGGTGCTTAACCCCCTGCGCCAGCAGGGAGGCCCCTAAAATCCTTTTTAACCACCTTTCTATGATCTTCATGAGATCCAATTAATAAAGCCAAACCTTAAACAAATGTACCATTATTGAATTTAAAACTACTGTTTGGTTAAAATGAGAAATTAATGATCTTTCACCAAATAAGAATATTCTTTAGTGATGGATTCCAAAACTACTCTTCCAGTAGCCCCAAATCTCCTGCCTAGGGGGGATCATGCTATGGAATAAAGTCAAGCTAATTCAGAGAAGATTTTAAACCATTATTTGCAATACAATATAACCAACAGACTTAATTAGCTACAGACAATAAGATGACCTATATAAAAATTTGACTTCAGAAAAGGATTCCTTTAAATTGGGCAAATAAACTATTGAACTGGTCAACAGATAATATTTTGAAAAATCTCTATTCACTCAGGCTAGGCAGAAATATAACTTCTATGGGCAGACAAGGTAACCAGTTTATGAAAACAAAAACAATATACCACATTCTACATATCTCTGTATTATGAATTGAGATATGAAACATTCAAATAAAAAAAGTGATTTAAATATCTAATCAAGAGTTAATTATATGGGGGCCTCCCTGGTGGTGCAAGGGTTAGGACACAGCCAATGGGGCTGTCCGTAGCCTCTGCAGCATGAGTTTGATTCCTGGCCAGCTAGGGAGCAACCCACAGCAGACCTCTCCTGACTCGCCCGCTGCTCCCCTCCCTCAGCAGTGTGCTTTGGTCAGTCCACCTGTTCTGCTCCCCACTCTGTCTCTGGTGAATCCTCTCACCCCCCACGCCTCTGGCCTGTACCCCAGCTCTTGTATGCGTGAATGAATAAATCTTAAAAAAAAAAAAAAAAGAGTTAATTATATAAAAAGGTAGACCAACTTAATTTTGTTTTCAATTTTAGCGATAGAGTGGAAAAAAAAGTATTCCCTGGGGGGATTCCCTGGTGATATAGAGGTGAAGCCTCAGTGCTGTCACCACTACTGCCTAGGTTCGATCCCCAGCCAGGAAGCTGACCCACATATGGTGCAGCAGACCTCTCCTGCCTCACCTGCTGTTCCCTTTATCAGTGCATTTCAGTAAATCTGCCTGTTCTTCTCCCCACTCTTTCTTTGGTGAATCCTCTCATTCCCCGCCCGCCCCCCCCCCCCACACCCCGGTTCTTGTATGCATAAATAAATAAATCTTTAAAAAAAAAGAAAAAGTGCTCTTAAAAACATTAAATATTTCTGTCATCTAAACTACTTGAGGGCCTCCCCTGGTGGCACAGCGGTTGAGCGCTGGGCTGCAAAGCAGCCCACAGTCTCTGCAGCGTGGGTTCGATCCCCAGCCGCCTGCCAGCGAGGGTCCCACATGGTGCGCAGACCTCTTCTGCAGCACCCGCTGCTCCCCTCAGTAGTGTATTTCATCGGTCTGCCTGTTCTGTTCCCCTCTCTGGCTCTGGTGAATTCTCTCACCCTCCCGCGCTTCTGACTGTACCCAGTGCTTGTATAAATAAATAAATATTTAAAAAAAATAATAAACTACTTGAAAGCTGTACTGTACAAAGATGCTCATATTCCCACTGCTGGCAACTACTGAAATAAAGTGACTGGTTAGAATTCTTATACTATTGTCTTCTCTAGAAGATTTAAAAATTGAAAGAATGAAATTCAAACAAATGAAATCTGAAGTTATCAATACTTCCATCTAATTCTCCAAAAACACTTTATCTAAAAACACTATCTAAAACCTAGCTACTTGCAAAATTGAAGCTATAGATTACATTTTTAATTCTGCATCTCAGTAAATAGTAAACCATTTCTAACTACTAGATATTTCTGTATTACTCATTGATTGATGTCTTACCTCCCTACCTTTATTTATTTATATTTATTTTATTCAGAAGCGCAGGATTATTATTAAAAAGATAAAAGAAGGAGGAAAACGATAAAAGAAGATAGACATAGGGAGAAGACAATTTCAGTTGAAAATGACAGGTTTTTTGAAAGAGATACCCACATTGACACAGCAGTGGGGGGGAAATCAAAGTATTCTCATATGTAAACCAACATTCTCCTCTATGAATAGAAACATCCTTACTTATGTCTGATTCTTAAATCAACACTTTTTGATTTAATTTTTTTTTTTTTTTTTTTTTCTGTTTATACATGCACTGGGTACAGTCAGAAGTCAGAAGCGTGGGAGGGTGAGAGAATTCACCAGAGCCAGAGCGGGGAGCAGAGCAGGCAGAAGGACCGAAGTACACTGCTGAGGGGAGCAGCGGGCGGCAGGAGAGGTCTGCGCGCCATGCAGGACCCTCCTCTGGTGGCCGGGGAGCAGCCCGGGATCGAACCGGCACCACAGAGGCTGCGGGCAGCTTCGCAACCCAGTGCTCAACCGCTGCGCCACCAGGGAGGCCCGATTTAATTTTTTTTTTTATAGAGGCATGTTTTATTTATTTATTTGTTTGTTTGTTTGATGGTTTGTTTATACATGCACTGGGTACAGTCAGAAGCACGGGAGGGTGAGAGAATTCACCAGAGCCAGAGCGGGGAGCAGAGCAGGCAGAAGGACCGAAGTACACTGCTGAGGGGAGCAGCGGGTGACAGGAGAGGTCTGCGCGCCTTGTGGGACCCTCCTCCAGTGGCCGGGGAGCAGCCGGGGATCGAACCGGAGCCGCAGAGGCCGCGGGCAGCTTCGCAACCCAGCGCTCAACCACTGCGCCACCTGGGAGGCCCAAATCAACACTTTTTGGATAAGAAAATAAAAAGTCCTTTTTTTTTTTTTTTGGTGGGACCCTCGCCGGTGGCCGGGGATTGAACAGCCTCGCAACCCAGCTCTCAACCCCTGTGCCACCAGGGGAGACCCAAAAATAAAAAGTCTTAAATGTCTTTCCTCTCACTAGAAATAAATAAATAACAAAATCTAGTACAAAAGACAATTACACATGTTTTATGGAAAGGGGGGATATTAAATACTACCTTCCTGAAATTACTTCTGGTGCAGCATAGTTGGGTGAGCCACAACTTGTTCTTAAAAATTCACCATCTGACATCATGTTTGAAAGACCTGAAAATGCACAAAGTACTCAAGATTTCCCAGAGACAAAAATAAAAACAAAACTCCATTAAACACTAAAACCAGGTTTGCATTAAAAAGATAAATCATTTTGCTCCTTGCTTCAACAAAATCCTGTTTTTTACTGTTCCCAAATTATTTTACTATTATACCCTAAAATCTGCAATTTTTTCCAACAAATAAATTAGAGCATTTGAGCTTAATGAGTATATATTAAAGTTATTGCTTATTTTGTTTACTAGAATAAACTTAGAATGTTTAAGTTTTATTAATACAGAAATTACTAGGAAAAAATAGATGAACTGGAACAGATGAATAGAAGAATTAAAATCCAAAGTTTCTATCAACCCCACTCTGATTCATAAAAAAAAAGAAAAAAAAATAATGTGACTATCCAAGTTCCCTCTTAGTGATACTCCAAAAAGAAACCTCTGCCTCCTCAAAAATGCACTGAATAAAAATAGTCATGATGAGTAAGGAATAACAATTAAAGAATAAATCAAATAACTTAATCAGTTTAAAAAAAAATAGCTCAGGGATGAGTTGGCTAGCAATTAAAATATATATATTCAAAACTGAAAACATAATTTGTAAGAAACTCCTGTGAAGCTCTAAGCAAAAGAGAATTGCAGAGATTCATTTTGCTCTTAGAATTAATAATGTCAATGATATTTTTATATAGAACATAATGGAAAATAGGGAAATAAAGAAAAAACAAAATCATTTTAAGTTCCCCAAGCAGAAATTATTTTACTTTAATTTTTAATAATTTTTCTTTACTTTATTTTTAATAATTTTTGTTCACTTTACCTTCTAATTTTCAAAGTCTGACTAACTCCAGCCCACTCTCTCTCTTTGCCCCATACTTGACCAAAACACAACAGAAATAAAATTGCTAACTTCTCCTTCACATAACAGTGTCTTTTCAAATGACATTTCTAATGCTGCCAATTTAAATTGTGTACTGTCATAAAACTCAATTTGAAAGACATAAGCTGATCCTTTTTCCTTTCTGTATTCTCATAAAAGATGGTGAGAATATATGACTTTAAGATATGTAGCCTATGACATAAGAGTGGAAGTTATCTCAAGAATGCTACTGATGCTAAACATAACAAACATATGGAACTATAAAAATCTTACCAAAATCAGCTATTTTTGCATTCATGTGTGCATCAAGCAGGACATTTTCAGGTTTCAAATCTCTATGGACCACCATATGTCTGTGACAATAATCCACACCAGAAAGAATCTGTTGGAACAGACGTCGACTTTCTTTTTCATCCAGCTAAAGAAAAATAGAGAAACAGCTCAATTCTCTCAAAATAAATTCTTCAACCTGTAATTCCCCAACCTATAAAAATTTCCAAATATGTGAAAACTTCTGAATTAATCCCATTCATAAGATACTCCTCAAGTAGGAAGGAGACAGATGAAGCAAAAAACCAGTAATGCTAGTAAGAGTAACTTGGAACCCAAATTGTCAATTTTTAATATTATCATTATCATGACTACATTATAACTGCCTTCTGCTCATGAGCTACTGTAGTTTCAATTTCTACCTGAAACAAGGCATGTTTTCTTCTATATGTTGGAAATGTTTATTCATTCCTTCAGTCCTTTAACAAATATACATTGAACACCTTCACTGTGCCATGCACTGTTTTAGATAATCATGTATAGCAATAAATAAAAAACAAAGACCCTAATCTAGGTGATGCAAATATATAATAAGCAGAACATCAAGAAGTCACAGTACTTTGAAGAAAAACAAAGCAAGATAAGGGCACACAGAATTATGTTGGGGTGAGGATACTGTATTAGCCTATTGGAGGAAATTACATTTTAAGCAATGTTAATGAATTAGCATGCAATCATGTTATTATACATTCTGAAATAAAAGATTTTTATACACAATCCTTTATTTTGTAAATTACATTTAAAATATTTTTAAACTTCTCTTTCCGTTTAGCCTATTTTTTTTTATTTTATGATGCTTTCTCCACAAGCGATAACCAATACTTTGACATGCCTACTCCCAAGAAGTCATCTTTAATTAAAAAAAAAATAAAATGATTAATCCTCCAGGCAAAGGACTCTAATATGCAATTACTGACACAGCTTACAAATTAACATTCTAAAACCAGGCATTTACACCTTAATTGGCATGAATAATCCTGGGAGGAAAGATGAAAAGGTAATTTCTTTTGAAAGCAAAATTAAGACTACCTAAGCACTCTGAGATGCCCTTACTATAGAGAAAACACTAATACATTAGCAAGCTAACATCTTTATTCTAGAATATGGGTCAGTTTTTAACACAACTTTATATTAAATATAATAAAGAAAGAGGAATATGTGTTCTAAATGTGAAAGAGAAGAAAACTGACTAAACAAAATATAAGAGCTATTTGGCTAGATGGGCTACAAAAATGGTATGTATAGCAAATTAATAATAAAGACAGCACACAGGGCTAAGGAAAAGATTAGAAAACTCAGCGTGTATTTCCTGTTAAACAGAAATATCGGCAGAGTGAACTTTCAGTATTCCTCCTAAAATTCCATTAGCATATAAAGATGAAAAGAGCAAGAGAAGATACAGCAATAATCAAGACTCATCACCAAAGTAGAGAACGGATGAACAGTAATAAAGACTTAACTGACCAGGGACTAAAATCTAAGCCTACAGGGGTAGAAACCAATGATCACCCAGTCTACACACAGAACCCTGGGGAAGCTCGGAAACAGGAAGCACTGGGAATCCCTAAAGGTTCAAGTGAGAAGTAGGGTGAAGATGGGACAACCGAGTGAGATAAATTTTAAAAGGACCACTCCTGGAGACTAAGATCTGTGGTTTACTCTTTAGTAAGGCTAAACCAGTTCTGTTCTCAAGAACAAAGCAGCAAGGAGGCATCAGCAGGAAAGCATGAAGATGAGATAAAGACAACATGCTAACTGGTGGAGACTTGTACTTCTCTTCCTACTTCACTCCCAGAGTGCTGGCAGCTAAACTAATACCCTCAAGGAAGTAAGGAGGTTTCTTCTCAAGCAACTGTCTGATTCAGGGGAAAAACTTTTAATTACTGACATTTGATAAATCCCAGTAAAACATACAACCTATGAGAAGACCCATCAATCAATAAGTTCTACCCACAAGAGCTTGGCATTTGTACATAACTCTCAAATAGGAGTGACAATCAAGAATCACCAGACATCAAAGGAAAGGCCATGTACAAAAGACAAAGACCAATAAAATAAACAAAGAAGAGAAAAAAAATCCAGAGAGGAGAAGTGTAGAAAGCATAGAAATAATGCAGGGAACAGGAGAGAATTTTTTTAATTGTCATCTTTAGACAGATAAGGTGATTAGATCTGTGGAGCAAAAAACTGGCTCTTTAAAGAAAAGAAAATTTCACAAAACAAGAAAGAAGTCCTTGAAATAAAAAATTTAACAGTTGGAATTTTAATATTTAAGAGCTAAAAATTGAAAATTCCCATAATATAAAGCAAAATGATCAAGAAATGCAAAAGATAAGAAAACAAGACACCAATTCAACTATGCCTGCTTCCCATTTTCCAGACAGCAGAACATATTGGCGGAGGGTGAGGTGGAGCAGAGAGGGTTTGTATAGAGAGTAGAGAAGAGAAATATCTGCAATTAAAATGAAGACTATTAAGAAATAATAAAATCAAAACTAACTTGGGTAATGAGCTTGGTTTTGGTTTTGATGAAGTAAACAGACATGCTGTAAGAATAAATGAATGAATGATATAAAGATCATCAGACTGAGAGGGGAAAAGTTAATTTGATTTCTCAGGGCTAGATCTGGCTCTTCCAGAAAGTACATACTTGAATATGAGGAATATATGGGCAGGGACTGTGTTCAGTTTTCATATCTATTATTTAAGGGACTGTTTAAAATGTCTCCTAAAGTTCCCTCCAACTCTAAATTCTTTAAGTCTAATTCCTACCTCCTCATGGAGCCTGTTCTTACTACTCCAGGTACATCAGATTTCTGAAACCAAAAAATGAATGCAATTTAAATGCTAGGATTTACTAGCAAGACCTAGACCTTTAAGTAGTTAATATTTTGGAAAGATTAAATAAATACTTTGATACATACTAAAAGTATTTGTATGATAATGAACTTAGGGGTCATGAGTTCTGGGTCTCAATCTAATCTGTCATTAATAAATCTTGTGACCTTGAACAAATATAAAACTGTGAGTCTCAGTTTCCACATCTGTGTAAGTAGACTAAGGAGATCATCTTTAAGGTCTTTTGTAGCTCTAAGTAGTCTATGATTCTAGACAAATATACTGAGGAAACTGGTAATTTAAATATACCTCTTAACAAAATTTCTTTTGATATTTTGATGCTAGTAAGGAATAGGGAAGTTACAAAATGTACACAGGATTAAATCAGAACTGCTTACCCTTCCATTTTTACAGATATAATCAAATAGCTCTCCTCCTGAGACATATTCCATCACCATGAAAATATCAGATGGTGTACTGATGACCTGGTACCTGGTGAGAGAAAACATTATCTACCAGTATGAAAACATGTATATTCATTCAATAAATATTTGTTTAGCACCTATAATATACCAGGCACTGTGCTAGATGCTGGGAAAGCTAAATAAAGGGAAGAAAACAAATTCTCTGCCCTCGTGAAGTTCATGTTCCAGAAGCCAGAAACAGACACTAAATAAATAAGCAACTTAGGTGGTGGAACATGCTATGAAGAAAAATAAAGCAAACTAAGGGGAATTTTTTTACAGGATGTTTAAGGAAGGCCTTTCTGATAAAGCAATATTTGAGCAGAGCCTAAAGGAAGTAAGGAAGCAAACTATGCCATTATCTAGAAAATGAACCAGGCAGAGGGAACACCTGTACAGAGGCCCCCAGGAGGAAGACTGCCTGGCATGTTGGAACAATGGCAAGAAGCTAGCACAGAGTGAGCTGGAAGAGAGAAATAAGATGTGGAACTGGAGAATAGAGGGCACAGACCCTTACAAGTCATGATGAGGCTTTAGCTTTTACTCTACAGGAGAGAGAAGCTTTGATAATTTTAAGCAAAGTAGCCATGTGATTTGGTCTATTAAAAGGGTAATTTTAATTCATGACAGCAATGTAAAGAACTGACTGTGAATGGTAAAGGTGCAAGCAGGAGGCTTCTGCAGCAGTCCATGAGACAGATGAAGGCTCACACTAGGCTAATAGCACAGAAGGAACGAGAGAGTCAGACTCTACATAAATCTTAAAGCTAAAGATGGAATGGATGGTAGCAAGAGAGAGAGAAGGGGAAGTTAAGGATGGTTCCTAAGTTTGTTCCCTGACATTAACAGAAATGATGAAAACTGGGGGAAAAGTAGATCTCGGAAGGTGACAACCAAATGGACATCCTAATAGGACATCCAAGTAGGCAGTGGACATATGAGTCTGAAATTCAGGGAAGCAGTTTCAAAGCAGCAGATGTACATTTAGGGATTATGAGCATTTGGATGTTACTGAAAGCCATGGCACCTTCACAAAGGAAAAGAGGTGAGAGAAAAATAAATTTTGAGCAGCTAGTTCAGTACAAGAATCTAAGCAGTTTTAATTTCTAGCCCACAAAATAAGTTGAGCAGTGAATAAGTTATCCATGCATCCTACAATTGGCAACACAAAACAAGGGTAATATTACTGCCCCTTTGAAATAGTGAATTCCTGAAATTCTATTATTTGTTATTTGTCTAATCAGAGATGTAAGCTGTGTGGGTGAAGGGTAGGGAAGCTTTCTGCTGCACTGCCTTTAGTGAGGCTAACTGATATCTGGAAATTTGGAGATACAGAGTTTTTAATAGCAAATCATAGTTCCTATAGCAATAATGGCAGTGAACATTATCACAAGAGCATGAATCCAGAAGACAAGAAAGAGAAAGATAACAGCCATAAGCACAAGGGTAAAAAACAAATACAAGTGCAAGTGACGGTGAATAGGGTTAAATAAATACATGCACAAAAGAAACTTAAAATCACTCTGGAAACAGGCTGAAGAAATGTCAGTTATTCTTATCACTTGTCAGATTAAGTGGGTCAACAAAAATGACAAAAATCAATGACTATATTTAATATAATCAGAGCTTACAGTTTAATTATATGAGGATGCCTGAAAAGCTTGAGGTTCTGTATTTCTCTGCGGATTTTTCCTACCACATCAAGGCTCCGAATCTTCTGTCGATTGAGTATCTTTACAGCAACTTTATGTCCAGTCAATTCATGTTTGCCAACTGTAGGAGAAATAATTTAATAAATTAGTGCCAGGCTTTATTAATAAAATATTTCGATATGCACAATAACATAAGGTACTTGAAGAGTGGTACTCTTAGCATTTTGGGAAATTACTCAAGCAAATTCAAGTTCCTTTCAGTTCTACCTGATTTACCTCTGAATGTTTACATATTTATGTGCTTAAATGGGAGAATATATAAGAAACTGGTAACAGTGGTTTCTTCCTGAAAGACTAACAGAAGCAGAAAGAAAAAAGATTTCCTTTTTATTATATACTTTTTTGTACTTTTAAATTCTCTTTATTTTTCATTTTTCAAACTATCATAAATACAAACTGAACCTTCTCTCTTTGTGTAAAGTTCTATGGATTTTACACATGTAAAAATTGGCATAATCACCATTATAATCAAACATAAAACAGTTCCATATCCAAAAAAGCTCCCTTATATTTACAAACAACTCACTTGCCCCATCCATTCTGCCTTGAACCCCTTGAACTTTTTAAATTTTGCTTCATGAAACCAAGTGCTTTCCATTTTTGAAAATAAGAAAAAAAAAAATGTAGGCAACGATCTTTCTGTTCTGAATACTATGCCATCTCAATAGTGTTAGTAGAAATATTTTAGAACATTTTTATAGAGGCAAAGTTTCCAAAAATTTAGCTTTTATTAGCCCTTACTCAAAAGCCTACTGGAGATTATATAATCCATCAAAACCAGGAAGGAAACCAAGAAAGATGCTATCAAGTAAAGAAGGGACACAATACAGAGAAAAACTGAAAGAATCCTCAATATGGTAAAGAAGCAAAGTCCTAAGTAGCAGATGTGCAGGTGGTCTAGAAGACCTAAGAGAAATACAATAGAGGATCCAAGATGATTATTTCTAGAAAGGAGAAGAAAAAAAATCTTACAGATTTGAAAGTATGGAAGACTGCATTGAAGGAGATTTTACAAAGGCACTTGAAAATATGGGGAATTTAACTTTAGGCTCAAAGAAAACTAAGCAAATTAAATAATTTAGTAACAAGACAAATTTAAAGTTTTATAAGAAAATATAGTCAAAGTATATTGGCTTAGCTAATCATTTTTATATAGTCACAATTATAAAAACATGAAATATGCATTTTTTTTGAAGAATGATATAAATATGCTGGGAGAGGAAAAGGTTTAAGAGAGCCAAAATGCTCATCTGCCACAAAAGGAAGTCAACATAGTTTGTCAATAAGAATTAACAGACAGTTTATATGCATGCATATAACAATTTGAAATGTGAAGGTTAAGGGGAAAAAAACAGAATACAAGAAACCACTAAGTAGGCACAGAAAATTGTTCTACACACTATAGATTTTTAAAGTACACATGTATGGATTTACCAAAAGAAATTTTTTTAAATTTTTAAATAAGTGATTTAGGGTTTTAACTTTTTAGAAGGAAAATGTTCTCTTCTAAATAAGAAAGCAGTTTATAGGACTAATAATATCAAAGAGCTCTCCCTGTCAATCTTAATAAACACCAGCTAAAAATCAAGGGTAATAATCACAAGAACCCCTCTTACTTATATTGATGATGGGCTGAACTGTGTCTCCCCCAAAAATTGTATGCTGAAGCCATTACTCTTACAACCTCAGAATGAAGATAGCTTTCAGACAGGTGATTAAGACAGTTTGGGTGAGCCCTACTAACTGGTATCCCTGTAAGAGGAAACGTGAACACATATAAACACCATGGGGTACACACAGGAAATGTAAGGACACAAGAAGATAGTTCTCTGCAAGCTGAGAGGCCTCAGAGGAAACCAAGTTTTAAAAACACTTGATCTCAGATGTCTACCCTCAATAGACTGTGAGAAAATAAATTTCTGCAGTCTGTGGTATTTCTTTAGAGCAGTCCCAGCAGACTAATTAATACAGTATTTTTAACTCTTTCCTAGTTGAAAACTTAATGTTGATATTTTAAACTCATTATTGATATTTCTCATTATTCCAATCTCTGCTTGATCTGGGATTGGAATGAAACTAAACTTAGTATCCTTTAAAAACTCCCAAGTTGGGCCTCCCTGGAGGCGCAGCGGTTGAGCACTAGGTTGCGAAGCTGCCCGCAGCCTCTGCAGCGCCAGTTCGATCCCCGGCTGCTCCCCGGCCACCAGAGGAGGGTCCCGTATGGTGCACAGACCTCTCCTGCCGCCCGCTGCTCCCCTCAGCAGTGTACTTCGGTCCTTCTGCCTGCTCTGCTCCCCGCTCTGACTCTCGTGAATTTTCTCACCCTCCCGTGCTTCTGACTGTACCCAGTGCATGCATGCATGCATAAATAAATAAATAAATAAATAAATAAATAAATAAATAAATAAATCTTTTTTAAAAAAATAAAAAAATAAAAAAATCCCAAGAATTGAGAACCAATGCAGGTTTCTTAAGCAGAGGAGCAATGAGATAACTTTCTAAGAAGAAAAAAATACTTCACAATTTAATAAAATGCAGAGAATTTTAGAACCAAAGAGAACCTTCCATATCATTGAGTCCAATGATTTTTCAACAACTGGACATTTTTTTTCCCATCAGACTAACCAATGAGTAAAGGGCTCTTCTGTCCCATTATACACCCTGCAATTTTGAGGGGTGGGACGGGGGTGAGGTTCCTCACTATTTTTGAGTTTTTAAGTATTTGCTACTTTGTTTAACATTTTAATTATTAATAATAAATTTAAGGTTAGGTTAGATATTTCACAATTGGAGAAAAAAGTCTTTGTTAAATAAGATTCAAAGAAAAATGTTTAAGTCGGAGTCCTGTCAATCCTTTTAAAGAATATTATTTACCCACATAAACTCACCTTCCATTTTGTCCATATCCTTCATCATACCCCTAACACAAATCTTTCCAATTGCGGTTTATACAGCTCAACTAATCTCGAAACCATCCATGACTAAGAAATTACAGGAGTGTCCAGAAGATGGCAGAGTAACAGTGTACTCAGAATATACTTCCATTAGTACCTCCTTTTAAATTAGTGAGGGAAAAAAAAAAACCTATCATCATAGCTGAAATGAATTTTGGAAATCAAGTACACTATAATTTCAGATAAGGCTTTCTCCAATCTCCAATACTGATCAGATGTATGTAAGAGCAGTCAACTTACTATTAAATCCTTATTGTTAAATACATAGAGTAGTGCTAATGTCATTTCTCCCAATTACCCCCCAAATCTCCAAGCCCCAGCTTAGTGGGAATCTTACCCCAGTGACTTCACAGATGAGAGAGCACTGGGGAATAACTACAAGACTAAATAACACCAGATTTGGAAAGAGTTTAAAATGGAATCCATTTCAACCTGAACGTCAATTTCACAACAAATCAATCACTCTCTCTCATATCATACCCTGCTCAATTTCAATCTCAGTTAACTTGAAGAAACAATTAAGGTGTATCCAAAACTCTAACAAGGAACTGGAATGGGAGAGTCAAAGCATTCTCTCAAATTCATCCATCTGGCATGACAGATACTAAGCATCTGGGTAACAAAGTCAGAAAAAACAGTACTGAGTGGAAGTGACCTGGGGCCCTAGGATCTTCCTGGCCTCTGAAGATGACCAAACTAAGTAAGAAAAACCAAATCAAACAAGACTACCAGAAGACAAAAGAATAAAACAAAAAGACATTAAAAATGCTTGAGAAATATGTGAATGTTTTAGAAAAAGTTATAAAATATTTCAAAGTGGTAAGAGAATAAAGAAGTTATGCAATAAAAGAACAAGACAAATTTTACAACAAACCAATGAAAATCATTTACAAAGGAGCAGGTCACTGCAGAAATGTGACATACATTTTTAAAGATTACAGAAAAATTAGCAACAGCAGAACGGTGACAGACAAGGAATTAAGGAATCAAGTAATATTCAACTCATGAGTAATACAGAGTAGCGTATCATTCTACCTATGAATAACAACAGAGGTTCCCCTTAGCCAACTTAGATGCTGTAGCATGCCTTTCTCTAGGCACATAGTAAGTGCTAAATAAATAACATCTTAATTTCTAAGCATCTAGCTCCTATCCTTTAAACTTCAATCCTATCAACCTACTCTATCCTCTACACATCCATCACCTCCAATTCTGAGATTTCTAGCTTCCAAAGTTCAACCCATTTCTTGACTTTGGTTAATTTCCAACAGGTTATTGCTAGACATACATACATAGCACCAAATCCTTGCCAGTGATTTCACCTACTACCTGAACACTTTAAGAACACATATATGGTCACAAAAGCCCAGAGGAAAAAACAGGTTCATTTGACTTGGGTTTCAATTAGATTTGGAGGTTTGGTTTTTTCCTTTCTCTTTTGCTTCATAAAAAAGTTTGTGTTGTAAAAAAGTTTATTTTGTTTCTTGCTCAAGTTAGATTTTGTATATGCATACTTTAAAAATATAAATATAGTTGATTCATTATACATAATATAATTAAGGTCTACATCTCACTCGTTAAGTGGGTATCACTTAGTACTGCCTCTAGCTCTCACCAACCCTGGAAGATTAGCATCACCAGCCAACACTTTACAGGAAACTGAAGGAAGATAAAATAACTTGCCCAAGTTACACAACTAGTGGCTAGTAAAAACAGAACTTGAACCCAGGCCTGTCGCAAAACCTTGTGCTTTTTCTAAAAAGTATAAAAGTATGATGATTTCTTAAAAAGGTAATCCTCAAAAAGGATATCACAGTATAATAATACAAAATAAATATTTTAAAAAACATAATTAGAAGATGAACATATCAGAAGAATCCTTAATGTACAGTCTTGTAATTCTGAAAATAGGACTGAATTTCCCCATATCAATAAGGATTTAAAAATTCATTCCTTCATTTAAGAAGTAATTGAATACCTGCAGCTATGTTCCAAATACTGCAACTATGACATTTTTCCTACATCAGAAAATGAATCTAGTCTATGGAAAACCTACCTCTTACCAATTTCTTTTTTTTTTAAAGATTTATTTATATATTTATGCATA